CCGGCAGCGCTACGGGAACTTCCACTTCTGCGGCGGGTCCCTGATCAGCGAGAACTGGGTGGTCACCGCTGCCCACTGCGGCGTCAGGTAGGCACCGGCTCTGCTGCTGGCGGCGTGGGGCTGGGCACGGACACGGGGCTGTGAGAGCTGCCCCCTCCCCGTGCCCGTGCCCTGTGCTCAGTGCCTGCCCGTGCCCAGGAAAACCGACAAAGTGGTGGTGGGTGCCTATGACCAGAACAACCCCAGCACTGCTCAACAGACGCTGACCATCGAGAAGGTACCGCTGGGGCGGGGGCTGTGTGCCTGCTGGGCCACCACAGGGACCCGGGGGGCTGTGTCCGGGTCCCCCTTGTCCTGGGGGTCCCCAAGGAGTCCCTGGTTGCCCTTTCCCTGAGGGTTGGGCTTCCCTGGGGTGTCCGTGGTTCCCTACATCCCTGGGTTGCGATCCCCCGGGGTGTCCCTGCTCCCCCTCATCTTCAGGCCGGGTTCCCAGGGTGTCCCCAGGAGCCCCAAGGGATGGGGGTCAGGCCCCCAGGGTCCCCTTCATCCCTGCAGGTGATGTGGCACAGGGTGTCCCTGCTCCTCCGTGTCCCAGGGGTGGGCTCTGCAGCTCAGGCACCCTGCCAGCACGGGACCCACAGGACCGTTCCCCGGCGTCCCCATGGGTCCCTGAGGAATGCCCAGTGCCTGGCACCCTGGTGGGCGGGATGGGCGCTGGGAGCGGTTCTGTTTGCTCCAGGTCTTCAAGAACCCCAAGTTCAACCTGCTGACCATCCGCGACGACATCACCCTGATCAAACTGGCCACTCCAGCGCAGTTCTCGGACCGCGTGTCCCCCGTCTGCCTGCCCCAGGCCACCGACGAGTTCTCGGGGGGCACGACCTGCGTCACCACCGGCTGGGGGCTCACTGACTCCAGTGGTACGGCACCTTCTCGTCCCCCTCGCTGCCTTCATCCCCATCCCTATCCCCACCCTCATCCCCGGCCCCTTCCTCATTCCCATTCCCAATCCCCAAGCCTGACCCATCCTGTCACCACCTCCGCCCCCGTGTCCCTGTCCCCATTGCCGCTCCGGTGCCGGAGCTGAGGCCCCGTTCCCGCAGACTCGGAGACACCGGCGGTGCTGCAGCAGGCGGCTCTGCCCCTGCTCACCAACGCCCAGTGCAAGGAGTTCTGGGGCTACCGCATCCGCGACGTGATGGTCTGTGCCGGCGCCGACGGAGCC